CCAGTGGTCGTCCTTTCTGCTTGTAGCAATATCTGTGTGCACGTCTCGATGTAGGGCGAGATACATTCTTCTGAGGTGATTCTTAACAGATACCGACAGTATCAACTCTGATCCATGAATATAACGGTATTGTCGCATGGGACTTGGCAGCCATTGCAGCTCATGATAAGGTCGGCCCTTATCTGTCGGACTCTGTCCCTAACGAGCTTCCATGATTATGCTGTTACAGGTCGATATGAACCCTTCTACGCACCCTAACGGTTATATCGATTTCGCATTCGTATCTCCTCATAAGCTGATCGGTGGTCCCGGTAGCAGCGGTCTCTTGTTGTGTAAGAAGAAACGACAGACTAACGCCGTGCCGGCTGTCTGCGGCGGAGGCGTCGTTCTATACGTGAGTCAGAGAGGTCATCGGTATCTTGATGACTTCGAAGAGCGCGAGGAAGCTGGTGAGCTATATTCTACCTAGCTCACTCTTCACTCGATATTTCTTGAGGTACCCCCGACATCCTCGGATGCATCAGAGCAGGTATCGTCTACCATCTTCATAGGACGATCGGTATCGAGAATATTGCTGCTGCTGAACATAAAATGGCCGATCATTTATATAAAAGGCTCCAGTCCCACAGCAAGATTCATATACTCGGGCCCAAGGCAAGCTATACTCGTTCTACCGCTTTCGACGATCGTCTTAGGATCGTTCTCACTGTGCTGGTATTTTATCCTTCAATATCTTGTATAATCACAGCAATCCTTCCACAGGACACGGCCTGTAAGATATCACTCACCAACGAATAGCAGTAGTTGGGAGTTGTATCCTTCAGATACCTCCATTATAACTTTGTTGCGGCCGTCCTAAACGATTTGTTTGGCATTCAAGCTAGGGGTGGCTGCGCTTGTGCTGGACCGTATGCGGAAACCATTCTCGGTCTCAGTGCTGGAAACGCCACCAAGTTCGAAGAAGCTGTCGGTAGGTTATTTGCATTCTCTTCCAATGCTCTGAATATGTTCAAGGCCGCACATTATCCGAGATTTTCAAGCCTGGATTCGTTCGAATTGGAGTGCACTTCACAATGACCCAGGAAGAAGTGGACCTCGTCGCCGATGCTATTCTGTGGATCGCCGATAATGGTTGGATACTCCTCCCTTCGTACACTTTCAAGACCCGATCAGGAGAGTGGTATCATATCAGACGAGATGATAGGCAAAAGCTCAAGTGAGTAAAAGTGGCTTAATGGCCTAGTGGAATTATTATTTATTCAGGACTCTTTTGGAGACGTTTGTTCAATCATCCTTTCGGACAGGGGTTGAATTGATTTCTCTTGGGAACTGCTCCGCACGATGTGGTGAGGGCAGTGCCCGTCGCTCAAGTCTGCCGGAGCACTCAATCGGAGGCCACAAGCACGTCGATGAGGACTCAGCAATGGTTATGCAAAAAGCTGATGAGGTGTGCAAGAAGATTCTGTCCGAGGTGAGTCGTCATGGGGAATCTCGTGCGATAGAAGAATGGTATGGGTGCTGGTATCGTCATGGTATTGGGAGAATATATTATCGATAGTGTCAGGATTCGTATCAGTAGCATTACCAATGGTGATTATATTATCGACTTTACCAGACGGGATTATCTTGCTTCAATTTCACAATGAAGTGAACCGATCCCGATAACATAGGCAACATTGAATTGCTGAGTGCTTCCTATGATCACACTGTACAGTGTCTTAATGCAGTTGGCTTTGCCCGTCTCAGGCAGCCATGGTCAAGCTCGACTTGCCACTATTCGATCCTAGTCTCATCCACCTATTGTGGTTCGCTCATCCATTTGATGCTCAGCAGTCTATCATTCAATCGATGTCTTCAAGTGAACCGCCCGAACCTATGGTTCGCACTGACCTAGACCTTTCAAACATTGCGGAGAAGGCCCCTGGACATGAGATTAGTTCAAGGTGAATACTGGATCTCCGTCTTATCCCCATTGAATTGTTAGTATGTCAGACCCAGTGAAAGCATCTTCAACGTTCGCTCCTGGAGTGATGGAGTCGAACCTCCTAGAGGAGTCAAAAAGGTGGGCAGCATTTCGCTCGGCCTCATGTTGTGTTGCTGAGAATCAAGTTCCACCCTCTCGGTAGACTACTCCCGTCGATCCTTCATCCTCAAGATTATTATCAGTCAAGGGTGTAAGGAACGCCAAGAAGCTCTTAGACCGTCGTGAGCGCACGCTCGCATCGGCGAACTAGACAGTCACTATCAGTATCACCTGTACCAACCCGCCACCTGACGTTTGAGCGACACAATTGTGAGCTCACTTAGGGCAACCAGTTCATGTCTCGTTTCCTGTGTCCTTACGGCCATAATATGGCTTTTCTGTTGCTTCGAGGTGTCTGCCTTATCCATGAAAGCGTCTGACGGTCAGACACTGACCTTTCTGGTCTCCTTATGAGATCGTTCAGACAGTTGATCTAGCTCTTTAGTAATATCAGATTTCAATTCTGTTTCGAACTTGGTTCCGTGTTTCGTTCAGCCATTGGATGGCAACCGAAAGAGTTCATGACCAAATTGGTTGTGAAATTATAACAAGATGATAAACTTTATCCCTGGCGCATGTTAGAGTTCCCGATTAAGGCGTAGCCCCTCCGGCCAATCTTCACCCTCGTTAAGACAACTCTTGCGGTGAACTGCGATCTCCTAAAAATCTCGGAATATACTCTGGCTCCTCGGCCAAGCCTTATAATGCACCGATTGTGAACGATAAAATCCCTTACCCTTTGATAACATCATGCGGAGGGTGGAGGCGCACTGAAGAATGTGGCGTGTTGGGTGAAATCTCATGGCTGGTTGGATAACGCTCTTCTCAGGTCATGGATTACAATCGTCATCACCGCGATTCCGCTGTACCAATGGTCGTCCTTTCTGCTCGTCGCAAAATCCATGGTGCTCGTCTTGATGTAGGCCATAAAAATTTCTCATCGCCCTATTTCTTGACAATATCGACTCTAATCTATTAATATAACGGTGTTGTCGCATGGGATTTTTCAGCCACTGCACTGCAATGACTGCAGGTTATGATAAGGTCGGCCCTTGTCTGTCCCCAACGAACTTTCATGATCGCGCTATCACACGTCGATATGAACCCTTCTACGCACTCTAACGGTTATATGGATTTCGCCTTCGTATCTCCTCATAAGCTAATCGGTGATCCTGGTAGCAGCGGCATATTGTTCAACAATAATTGTTGGGTAAGAAGAAACGCCTTCGTCTCATGCCTCCATTTTCCGGCCGGAAATGTTATGACCAATGTATATCTATCCTGGTACCTCGGAGCTCCCGACCTTCCCATGGAGATGTATTATTATTCTCTTTGTCGGTTGCATCCCATTCTGATATCTTCTAGACGTCAGTCTCACTCAAATATAACCCGAAATATCAAATTACTCAACCCTTTCGAACTTGGTAACCGTGTTTGGTTCGACCAAACAAGCTCGCCACCATATTGGTTGTGAAATTATCACAAGACGATGAACTTGATTCAACGAAGTTGTACGTGAATGTAACCTTGAATAATTCACCTCAGATACTTCGTTCAGAATAACCCATTCTAAACTGGTCACTCAGGATGCGAAGTTCCCGCTCTGCGCAGTCCAATCTATGCCAATAAAGGAAGCAACAGCTCGTCAAAAAAGGTGAAACTATTCCATCGAGCTATCTAGGCTTCTTACTTTCATCACTTCCGCTCCGTAGAAGCTAGCCGCTCAGCCCTACTATCATCACCTTCTCGCCCTCTAAGAGAACCTGCTATCAGCATTGAAGTATATGTGAGACTCTCGGACTATAGCAACACCTCAGGCTCCCCATCTTCTCGCTTCTATGTGCATCTTGCACGCCTTCCCAGAGAAAACGCTTGTACTTCTCAACCTATCCACATGGGACACAAAGATACTTCGATGTCGAATCGACATTGTCGATCATATCATCATATCGATGCCCAAGCTTAATCAGCTATTCGCGAATGCGAGCGACGAGTAGCACTTCCTGTTGCTAGCAAGCGAGTTAATCACACAGCATCGATGGCTGAGTGGGATATACGTCTGTTCTTACTATATCTCTGCATTAGCAGAGGATCCTCTGCTGTCTGCGAATACACCGAGTTGGCCTAACCATTCCGCATCAGAACTAGGCGAGACTCTATAGAACTTCCATCATAGAAGAATGAAGATATCAAATCGCCATCTGATAAGTTATCAGCTGATAACAAGACTAACATCATTCATAGTTGTTGTCATAACGAATTGTTGAGTCACATGGAGAAAATGATCGAATTATCGAGATCCGCAGAAACGCTTGGGATCGATCAGGTGAGTCTACCCCTCGTTGGCGATGCAAACTTGGTACCTTGATCGACCGCTATAGCACGTTTTGTGATTGTGCGTAGGGATAATATCAACTGTTGATAGACCAAAAGTTGATACCAAAAAATTATACCAAGAGTTGATACCATAAGTTGATACCAAAAGTTGATAATACCAATGGATGATAATCAACTGAGTCGATTCGACTCCTCGAGGCCGCTATGCCAACCAACCAAAAACTCATACAATTAATGTAGTACATGATGTACATTGTACTGTACATTGAATGTACCATCGTGATTCATCAGTAGAGCTATCATAACTCTCATCTCTGGAGTGATCGACTTGGATTACCTGGTAATGATTGAATCATTATCATGATGTAACGGGCAATGCATACCAGCCGCGGAATGGCATATCTGCCCCAGAATACTATCAATTTGGTACTATTCACTGCGACCTTTGCCTAATGACCAATGGCTGATAGCCGCCGGTTCCGATCGATTAGAAGTGGTTCTACTGGCCGCAGTGGGATCAATCAATTCTACCATTATCGAGTAAATAGAATTCCTACGGCCTACATTCCCAATGGAATTGATCATCCTATCTCGTACGTCTGTAAACTGCAAGCTCTGGCTGATGGTAATCTCTCCACATGTCAAAGTATGCATGCAACTTTGCTTCCGCAGATGAGACACATATATACATATCCCACCCAGCTGTCGAAAACGACAGCACCCTCCCTCGGGCTATGAAACAAACCGTGATCTGCGAGAACGCATCAAACTGTGGGCAAAGCATGCCGCCTACACCGTCATGGCAGGTTTTCCACAGTTGAGCAGATCCGCAATTCTCCCAAACCAGATCACGGATAGAGGATAGCTCAGTGAGAGGATAGAGGATAGCCCAGTGAGAGGATAGAGGAAAGCCCAGTGAGAGGAAAGGGAAAGTCCTATACTACGTCACCTCTCTGCTATATATCCACGTACATAGGCACCAACCCGAACCACCATGTATGAGGTGGTCCATGTATATTCTAGCAATTTTGCATCTCCCAGCATTTCCGCTTCGCTTCATGCTTTACCAATGGGAAATTCCCATGCAAGTTCAACAATTCGTATTTAGAACCCAACTTATAGTCTACAAGTGTACTTCAAGTCTACAGGTTGTAGATAACGCAGAGCTTGGATCTGAGAGTATACTTCCAGTGCACAGTGAATACGTCAGAACCGTGAATACTTACGAAGAATCTACTCTCTTTTATAACTCATAAGCTATGAGTAGCGATCTTGCAACACTCTAGCGTAGTAGCTACATACCTTGCACGTGCAATGCACAGGGTGAGTTGCTTACTGTAAGCTTACCGTAAGCTTATGTTACACGTGTAGGAAGCGATTCTGGAATCGATTCTGAGTTTCGGAATCAGTTCATTGGGGAAATGTAAGAGTAGATAAGTGTGCGCAAGATGGCACGGAAATAGACAAGTCTCGTGGTGGATAAGATGGTCTGTTCAGGACCGGTTGAGTGCGTCCTAGTTTCCCTCCACAACTCGTTACACGTTCGCATTCAATGTCAGCTATAATATACACCAAAGACATCGGTGAAGACATCAAGTAAGCCTGGTACACTCGATGGGAGAATCAATGATTCTTGAGCTTAAGGTATGGGAAATTTGCTGGAGTACCACGGCCTCAGCAACTAGAGCGATTCTGGCGGCGAAATTGGGAACTATCAGGGAAAGAAGCATCGGTGCACAAGGGCGTGTATGATCGAACGATTCGGCATTCACAGGAGCATGAACGCTCATGTACAGGTTTTGGACGTCCATGGACAAGTCGGGTGCGAGAATTATTGGATGCAGCCCTGAGGAAGTTGTGAGGTACGTTAGCTTTGGGTCATATACAGGAGGGTGGAAGGCGAATAAACGGCACGGCTATGGCACCAGAGAGTAGTGTCATGGTGTCAGAAATTAGTGTTGAAATTGCCATCCAGATCCTATATGGTGGGATCGCGTTATGAAGGCGAGTGGAATCAAGGCATGCGGCATGGCCAGGGAACTCAGTGGGTTCGGTGTAGAAATGGCAGAGGTGTCCGGAAGTGAGTATTATGGAGTGGAAGGGTCCGATTGGGAATGGATCCTGCGTGACAGAGAATCGTGGCTACTTGCAATGCATATGATCCCGTTCGACTTCTACCTTTCGGATAGGTTCTATGCTGGATCGTGGGTTAACGATAGACGGGAAGGATACGGAACAGGGTGTTACGAGGACGGTTCTTTCTACCACGTACTCACAGCCTTACTTAGTCGTGCTTTTTAACACCATCGGTCAGGGTAACTGGGTCAATGATGAGCGTGAAGGAGAGGGACTTATGTTCTATGCCAACGGTGACACGTATCGTGGACAAGTACCATGCTCATTGAGTGCTTATCCATCATAGCTTGTCCCCTCAGTGGCGTCAAGGAAAGCGGTCTGGGCTCGGTATACTGGTAGTCGGTGAAACTGGAGACTTGTATGGATGTGCCGCCTCTCGTTTTGAAACCATATAGTTGTATTAGGTATGAAGGTCAATGGCTGAACGACAAAAAGGAAGGCTCTGGGCGTTACTACTATCGTTCGCGCAGGAAAGTAAGTATGTCGCGCTGAACAAGTAGGGACCGTTGTCTTAGGTGATGGTAGGAGAATGGGCTGAAGACATGTGTAGAACGGGGTCAGTGTCAGCTTACGAAGATCCTATCGGATGTGAGTTGAGTCTAGGCCGATTCCAAAGGCCGCAGTACTTGCCGCTAAAAAAGCTTATCTCTCTATTAGTGGACATCCCGACTCTCCGGCTGAAGGATATAGATGGTCTCTTACGAAGCAAGATGGAAGAGATCAGATCGGAAAGATTCGTGAGATTTCAATGCTACTGCTGCTGATGTCGATCACGACCAGTGACCACCATTCCTTCAGCTCTTCCGAGTACTCAACACTCCACTTCTGACTTGTTCGACTCCGATGATCTCACACATATCCGTGATGTCCATGCGGCGGCAGTGAGCAGTAAGTCAATACCACTCCACGAGGATCCGCCATGACCAGGGCCTCTCAGACTCCCAGGACGGCATACTAAGCCTTGTCTCATTGAAGGCCCTTGTGCTGTCCCTTTTCGGCGTGCAGTTCTCACCCGAGGACCTCTGGGAGCTATGCGTCACTGTGGGTGTCATCACTGAGGAGGAGGCTCAACGAGGTAATGCTTTAATATTCACATACCACTCCATTGCTTCATCGTGGCATCCACGAGCGACGCTCAAAATGCACCATATTAGTAAGCGCAACAGGGATATGACCGTATTTGTTTCAGCCGTTGTGTTAACGGAAACCGAGTTGAAAGCACCACCGGAATCCTCCCTCCCCAACGACAATAGGGAAGTCATCGAACACGTCATAGATAGCCTGACCGATGACGAGGACGATGAGGAAGAGGACGAGGATGCAACCACAGAGTTGCGCGAACAAATAGCATATCGCCATTTCATCATACCAAGCAGCGCCTTTACACTTGATCGTTTTGCCAGGTGGGTAGTCCATCACAGAGATATGGCTGACTTCCCTCCTCAGGATCGTTACACTCATACTGGCCAAGCTGAATCACTAGTCAGTAGGCTCTGGCAGGTGTTCGTCGGGATATTAATATCGGTAGTTCGTTCAGTAGATGGACATCACGAGGCGATACTCTTCCTTCAGACTAACGCATGGAGTCGAACATTCATATCCACATGCACCCAATGTGGGAAAAGTTGTATTAGTTCGCGCGATAGGCATTGGATGTTGAGTTAGATTGTTGCGTTGTAAGACAATCCCTCACAAGACTACTGTTACCGGTCTGCAGTCTATTAGTTATAGATGAGCTTCTTCTATGGAGACAACATGAAATGATTTACAATAGAACGCAAACCTAAAGTATCTTCCCGCAGTTTATGGTAAATGGTCGGCACTAATCAACGAAGCCTATCAGCCAAACAGCGCTACTGCTAGTTAACGACAAGAATGTCGTTTAGGTAGTATAGCATTGATCTGTGAACACCACCGCAGCTGCCTACGACTATTTAGAAGAGGGCAGCAGCCAGTTCGGGAGGAATACCGCCTTCTTTGTACATTGTCTCGAAATTCTGGTAGATCGTGGTAACGGCCAGGACTATACCTAAAATTGGGAAGACGGAGTTGAACGGAGGAATGATGCTGTGAATGTGGCTTATCACCTGCACCGCTGCCAACAGCTCCCAGGATCTCGCCAGTCACTGCGATCGCCCCGACTACAACACCTCCCACGACAGCACAAGGAGTTATGTATTTGTCGAGTACCTTTATAAGAAACATATTGCAAAGCAAGAGGGAATGGGCTTACTGAAATGACAGTGGAATCTCTGTAACCGCGCATGGTCATCTGCTGGTCCTTAAGTTGACGAGCGATGTCCCTAGCAGCAGTCCCTGATACCTAAAAACGACAGATGATGGGATGGAACACACGACCTTTAGATGTGTAGTTGAATATGCAACCAACTGCACTAAACCATTCTGTCACAAGTTTGCGTACGTTGAGCCACATTCTTGAAGCGATACCGCACGCGATCGGTACAGAGCAGGCGAATACTATCAGGTTGACGGGGTCGGTGAATATCGATACGGTAGATTGGGGAGGGGAGAGGTAGTAAGCCAGTCCGGCAGTCTGAGGAAATAATTCATTCACTCATGAATGGAGTAGCGTCGTTGTTACCGGTCGAGCAAGGCCAGTAAACTCACTGTACTCCCATCTACCCAGGATTCCGATGACCTTCATCTCAGGGAATCTGATACGGAAGAGAAATGGAGGCACCAGGAATCGAACTTGGGACCTACATAGAATAAAGAACCTGGGATATCAGATAGGCATTGGCCATGAAGGCGGCGTAGATGATGATGGGCATACCCCCGGTATAGAAGAGCTTAATGGGATACATACCGGCATGGGACCTTGCTTTGACGTGCTTCACAGGGAGCTCCACTCGGAACACCTACCAACGATAGAGCATCATTCATTGAAACTTCTTATGGGAACGGAAGCGTTTACCTGGAAATAGTTGACCAAGACGAAGATGAACACTGTCGCCAAGAGGGTGATGATATTGCCTCCCGCACCAGTACGGAACATGGCCTCTTTGAGACCACTGACACCGTCTCGGAAGGTGAGCTGGAACAAGGCCAGCAAAGCACCTTCCTTCTCAGGGCCACGACCAACATCGATGGTCTTGAACGACAGACCGCTCGACAAGATCTGTTCGCATACACTCATGGCGATGAATGTGTTAATGCCAGTGGCACTGAGGAGAAGGCACTGTGTTGTGCTGGGAAGGGTCGCTGATATGCTACCCGAAGCCGTATCCCTTCTGGAGGAGCTCATCCATAGTCATCACAGCGATGCTTGAGGTCACCATCTGGGCAACTAGGAAGAGGGCCTTGAGGCTGCCTGTAGCAGAAGTCACGAATTGAGCGACATTGGTATGTACTACCGATGACCGAAGTAGGTCCAAAGGCACCGGCGACGACAAGGAGGGAAGCTTGAACCAATGCAACGAGGACCACAATGACCTTCTGAGCGCCTGAGTAGGCGATGAAGACGATGTAACGATGCACGTTGGCTTCACCTTGGAACAGGGCGCGGTCCTCTTTCCGGCTGAGATCCGCTGAGATGAGCCTAGAACCGTAAAGGAACTGCATCAGCATACCGGCGGTTAGTATAGGAGCCACACCTGTCATGACGAGTCCGATTAGACCGATACCATGCTTTATGGCCTACCCAGCTCCCTCAGTGTACCCTGTTGGCTGCCCATCAACGTTCTCAGCCAGTAGAAGGGGTCAACAGTGGATCCTTTCTCGACCCCGTACAACCGAATTTCCCCCAACACCATGAACATGAATAGGCAAGTAGCAGTCCATACCATCTGAAGAGTTAACAAAAGCATATCATTGAATCACCGAGGACCAGGAGAATTACTCTTTCGTTGAAGGGAATTCTCCTGTCGGGAGTGGTAGTCTCCGGCAGGAGCCTCATAGCGGGCCGAAAGACATCCAAGAACCTCATTCCGGATGAAAAATAAACTGAAGATTGCAGCAAGCTCTACCATGAGCAGTTTCTGTATCCGTGCAATATCATGCGTACGAGGACTCCGCTACGGTACACCAGCGGGTCAATTCAGCCAAGGCGACTCTGTAAGGCTCCTGACGTGGTGCTAATATTGCGGCAAGGTCCGACCCAACTGAACGCATGCAAAGTTAGATAATCTGCGATGGATGAGATCATAGTCACTATGGTCAACCAAGTCCTTCCAGTAGGACTTCAGGGCCATATGGAATTCCTCCACTCCTGCTCGCAGCTAGCCAGGTATTCAGCTATTTACTCATTCCCCCACCAAGTCTTCCATCAGGTCGTTCTCGGCCAAGTGAATGGGATTCTATGACAGACCCGGCGCCAACACTTCCAGCTTGAGAATTCCAAGAACCTCTTGAATGTCACGCGCGGTGGCTCGAGGCTGAGACTGTGCCTCGGGGGACATACCGATAGAGGCTCTAGGTCTAAGCAATAGCGAGAAGGATGCTGAAAGTCTACCATCCATAACTATATCTCATCCAACAACGGTCCTGTAGCTCAGTGGTTAGAGCGACGGTCTTATGAGCCGTAGGCCGCGGGTTCGACCCCCGCCGGGACTATATTTTCTTATTGTATAAACCTACATTTTGCAAACACTTTCAACCTGTCACTGGCCACGGAGGCATTATCTACGTGATTATGACGTATCGTGGAGATCCCCACCAACGCTTTTCTCCTTCGCTCAGTCTAGTTGCCCCCGCTTGATGGCTGCGTCATCATCTTCGTCTGGAGTTCGAAACTCTCTAATCAAAAAGCTGGACAACTTCGAGGCTCAGCTGTCGAGTTTGGAGGACCATCTGAAACCATTGATGGATACCGACTATGAGGAGCTCATGTCGAAGATGACACGTAATAGGTGCCACTGAGGGATAGGAAAATTCGAATTTGACTGACGTGGGAATATCAATTTCACAACGTGGGGTCACGGAGAATGTAGTGGCCCTTCACACTCTTCGGAGTAACCATATTCGGGGTACAGAAGCGAAGGTATTCCAAGTTGGGCACCTCAGAGTATTTTTATTGCTCAGCATTGGAGCAGAGCGAGTTAAATGTTTCGCTCGCTTTCACCACGGCCTCGCTTTACTGGATGTTCCTCAAGACGCAAGGCACTGATGTGAAGACGCATAAAATCAAGGACGAAATCGTACGATCAACCACGGAACTCATCAGTTCAATTTATGGTATCCTTAGGAGCGGGTCAAGTCTTACATGGCACGTTTAAAGAAGGCTTCGGAACAGGAGGACGCAAAAAGTAATAATAGTGGAGTCGACGGAGAGCGCAATGTTCTGCTAATGTCACTTGGCTGCCTCAGTGTGTGTCTTGTTTTTTGTATCACAGTTTTTGGGATGGTTTGTTGTTCATTAGCTCGCAAGCGTGATGTAGTCTTGAACAAGGATGCTGCCGAACGCATTGTAAAGGCCCACACTACTGAGTCAACAGTCCGGACTAGTGGCAAACGGAGAGCTGAGGAGAGCAGCCAGGAGGAGGGGCCCAAGACAGACTCGGAAGAACGGACCAAAAGGAGCAAGAAAACTGTGTGACTACGATGACGCTGGTCCCCTACGTCGATTACGGTCGAGAAATCACCCGTTACTGTGGGTTGCTGTTTTCGATCTACCGTCCATGGGCGTTATATTAAGTCTAAATCAATGTGGCACGGGAGAGGTATAACATTGTGATTTTTTTCAGTGTCAGTCTGATTATGTCCGATTCGAACAGTAATGAGAGTGTGAACCTGCCAATGTTAATGGCTGCAGTCGGAATGATAGTGGCTATCATCATGCTCGTCCTATGTGTGTGTTGGAGGGTTCATAAGGTGGTACACGAAGGTCTGCCACTACTTCTGTCAATGGACTGATCTCAGTACGTTGTTCGGAGAGGGCGACTTGAGTCTGTCCGTTGCCATGTGTGCTGGGTTGAGGTCGAAGTGCCTCGTGACGACAACCATTCCGAGGATGATGGAGGAGTCTTGAGGATATTCGTCTGCCGGTACTACACTGTTCAGTGTATCCTATTCTCATGGGCACGTACAGGGCGTGCATGCTCGCTAATAGTGGCAACGACTTGCTCCTCACCGAAGAGGCTCCGACAGGGGAGGCGGAGACGGGCGAGTCGTCAGAGATTGACATCATTGATGGTAAGAAGCCTCGAGTCAAGCATGGAGAGTCTATGGAAACTTTTGTTTCTGTTTTTCACGAATAACATTTCTTCAGTCGCGCCTAAGTCATCTCGACTTGAGATAGCCCTACAGCAGAATGAAGGGAGACTGTTCAAGCTGAGGAAGATCACCACCAATTTTTTCAGGTAGTTGACCATGGTGTATTATCCCGGGCTCTACCTATGTGACGTATTCAGAATGAAGACTGTGACCTCGGTGGCCACACCTAAGACGGAGCGGTCTAAGCTCGGGCCTGGCGACCGAAATAGCTACAGTAGTAGCAGTCGAAAGTCTCTAGCGGCCAGTGCGTGTAAAAGCCCGATGCTGGGCGTGTGTACGGTGTGCTTTGAGGAGGCGGACACCAGACTGGTAGTGAGGAAGGCAGAGATGGATGTGCCGGGGTTCGAACCTGGGTCTCTTGATAGGCATTCCTACCGTGTGGTCACAGTGGTATCTGTTTGGACTGCATGCGGGATATTTTGAGGTCCTTGAAAGGAGAGTGCCACGTGTGTCGAAGGGACATAGAGGCCGTGGTGAAGATCATGAAGAGGAGCCCTGGAACGTACTGTGATCATTCCAGTCATCGCCGTTCAATGAACACTGTTCATACCCTCTCTTTCTCAACTGCCATCAGATTTGGAGATATTCAGGTCTAGCAAGAGTTCTCGGCAGCAAGACTCGACAGCTCGGAATACTGTAGAACTTGGAGGAGGGCTGCGCACTGCGGGGCGGCGGAGGACTTCAGACGACGAGTGATAAGGCACACGTTGAATGCTAGGTTACTTACACTGCGTCCCTCCGTATGTATATCATGGTTGACCATCATGAGTGGTCGAAACTCTTCGTTGGTCGTAGGCTAATTTTGATAGGTACATTGGCTCGGCACTCTCTGTATGGGACTGTGAGCTGGCACCACGCCCATTGAATTGGTCTGATGATCACCCAGGCGCTGGCAGCGGGGCATCGCAATGGTCACTACGGTCCTTTCCTAGACTAGATAT